ATTTCATTATGTCATATCATTAATATTATTTATCCAGCAAGTCATTAAAATATAGAATATATACAAGTTCTGATTTTTAATATAAAAATTAGTCAGATATTGAATTTGATTATTATAAATATCATATCTCAGTCCATCTTATTCCTCATACTTATTATTTTTTAAAACTAATTTATATAATTTAAAATTTATATATAATATATTGAAGAGATCATGTTATATTATTATATTAAAGTCATAAAATTTTGTTTGTGGTATTCGCAACATTCTTAACTCTGCACAGAACTAGGCAATCTTCTTAAGAAAGTTTAAAATTCGAAGGCATACCTCCTATGTTGTTATTGTTTTCCTTGGCCATGATGAAACCCAAACATTTAAGTTAGTGAAACGACAATCTTCTGATCCTCTTCTTTTTTGCAACTCCCCTGTAAAACTAGTGTTGTGTTGAATTATTAAAGTGGTACCAGTTTTGTCTGCATCCTTAAATTACATTAATGTTGTCTCTTACAAGAAGAATTTACTCAATGATCAACTCTGTTGCTCTCATCCTAATGGTATCCTGAAAAAGGATATCAACACGCTATTACAGTCTTTTTTTTTAATTACTTTTTTCACAAAAATGATGTTTTATTAGTTTCTCATTCTCTGGCATCTTCAATACCTAACTTAGTAGTACTCCTCTAATTCTAAATATAAAACTCATTTTGTAATATAAATTACATTATAAATGAGTTTTAAACCTATATTTAGGACGGGAAGTATCACTCCTTTCATTTTATAAAAAATCTTTTTATCCAAAAAAAAAAAGCAGAGGAGTGGGTTTCGTGATTTTACATCCAAAAACAGTAACTCACTAATTTTAGGGGCAAAATTGTATTTTTAAATAGTTCAGGGTGTTAGGTGCACTTTCAAATGTAGTTCGAAGTGTTAGGTGCACCTTAATTCTAAAAAGTATAATAAACATGTGAGTCATGAAAAAGAAAAATTGAATTCTTTTATCGACAATAGCTATCTCCCAATGGAAAGAGATCTTCTCCTCTACCCTTTTTAAAATTTTAATAGTCCAAATTAAACATTTTATAAAATATTATTATAATTTATATAAAATATATGAATAAATTTAAACTATTAAAATTTGATTTACATAGTTCACAACCATAAACTATTATTACAGAATAGTTTTTTTCCCCATTTTTTCGCTAAATAGTTCGCAAACTATTTCAATTTATTTATATACTTTTATATAAAATTATAATAATACTTTTATATAGGAATAAAAATACGTGGACGAGGAGTAAGGATAGGTTTTCTGTATTAAAAAAAAAAAAAAAAGGTTAGGATAGGCTTCCATGTGGTCTAAGTTATCATAATAAATACGTCTTTCCCTTTCCATCCCCTCTCACCGAAATAAAAAGCTAGGAGAGAGGAGCGTGGGCTTAACGCCGTTCTTCTTTTTGTTTTTTTTTTTGGGGTTTAAAGAAAAGGTGCAAACCCTTTAATTTTAAAAGACATATTTTTAATTATTTAACAGTAAAATTGTTAGTTTTAGATGATAATTTTTTTTATATCAATTATAGTTGTTTTAAAAATTAAACTTAATATGTTCACATTTGAAAATATTTTTTCAACAATTAAGATCTCAACATTATTATTTTTGTGAATAGTTATAAGGTTAAAGGACTAAAAGTATACTTTTAAAAGTTAAAGGACTAAATTAAAATTTGTGTAAAGTTAAAAAATAAAAAATAAATTTTAGCTTTTAAGGTAATATTTAAATCCATTCAGAAATAATAGACATACACAGAAACATCCTCAAAGAATTGAATTAAAATATTATAAATTGGTATATGTAGTAGATTCTTGGGAATAATGATAGGTTTGACGAAAGGGGTAAGCAATGGCTGCCGTTTATGTTGGAACATTTAGAAAAGGAGAAATTGCAATTAGATTTTTAATGGTGAAGAAATACAGATAGGTTGCTTTGAAGCCAAGTAAAGGCATGCAAGTTCTGAGTTTATTGCCGCTAAAAGAAGCAAGAGGTTGCTGCAATGGTTCTCACCTGCAAAGGGGAGGGTTAAAATTAACTTGGATAAGTCATTCATTAGTGTTTAACATGAAATCTAGTTAAAAATTGAATTTAATTTTAAATATAAAATCTCAATCTGTTTCACCTTTTATCTTTTCTTAAAATATTTTTATTGATTATAAAGAGTTTGCACTCAGAGATAATTTTAATTATCCAATGCACATGACTAAAAATAATGGTTTAAGGAAATTAATACACATTTGTTATAAATAATCAATTTAACTAATTTTTTAATATCTTTAAATTAATTATTTAACTCTTATATTAGGATTCGAAGGGAATACCTTGGATGCCACTGGTGTAGGAATAATTTGCAGAAATATTTCTAGGAAAATGATTGGCGGTTTGGGAAGGAAAATTTCTGCACCTTCATCGTTTATGGCCTGGCGTGTGGCTCTTAAACGGAGTTTTTTTTTTAACAGTTTCCAGACTTCGGGTTCGTGACTGGGGGGTTGACTGTGAAGAACTGTGCAACTTCTTGTTAGGGGCAAGGAGAAACATGTGACCCAGAATGTACGGATCTAATTATAGCGCTAAATTTGAAAATTTTAGCAAATGCTTTTATGCTTTTCTTGGGAGGTGTTTGGTAGATTAAAAACACTTTTGAGAAGTGTTTTTACATAAATTAAGATAAAACTCTTTTATATATTTACTTATGATGTGTTTGGATTGGCCGTGGTAAAATTGATTTTTATCCTACCTGACTTTTACAAACATAAATTAGGATAAAAGTTAGTTAGTATAATATGATTTATATTTGAATTGACTTTTATAAAAATCAATTTGATAAATTAAAATTTTTTTGAATGGATAATGAAAAATAAGTTCAAATATAAAATGATGAAAAAGGACATGAGTTTTATAATACTATATCTAGTTCTTAATACAAGACTCAATCAACTAATTTGGGAAGACTAATAAAATTAAATAAATTACTTTAAAGTGTTTATATTTATCATTTTGGTTCAAATTGAATTTGTTTGACTTATAAACTAATATGTAATCTAATGATACACATGAGTGTTTTAAAAATATCACGCAATATATAATATTAAGTAATTTATTTAGCTTCCTTAATCTATTCAAATTAGTTTTTTAGGGTCTTATATTGAGAAACGAATATAATATATATACAAGTTGATAAATTTTAGAAAAATAATAAATTAAATTAATTAAATTTTATTATTTAATTTATTTCATCTTAGAAAAAACATCAAATTATTAGACCAACCTATTTAAACACCCCTATCTTTCTTTTTCATCTTTATCCCCTCTCTCTCGATGTCACAAACACCAAAAGCGCAGCTTCCTAGCAATGCACATTAATGAACATTTCCTAAAAGTTGATTGGGTTAAAAGCCTACCCAAACAACCTTCAATCTCCAAATAAGCTTTACTTGCGTTTTACAAAGTTCCAGGCACACTTGATTCTTGAAACGGCAATTCAAAAATGTGTTTCATATATTGTAAAATCATTTTTAAAACTATCACGTAGTTTTTACTTAAAACATTTTTTAGTGGGTCAAGACACCAGGACTGCAAATTTGCTGGCAGCTTTTGATGTGAAGGGGATGTGTGGTGAGGGATGGCTCACTAAAGCACCATTTTCTATATGTGATATCTTTCTTGCTGATATTTCTAATGTGCATAATTCCGCTCAGGTTGCTTGGTATGATTTTACTGAGAGAAATGAATGGCATTGGATAATGTTGACGGACTGTTTGTGTTTTTTTTTTATTTTTTGGACCGTGTAAGGTTTTTTTGTTTGTTAGCTTGTAATTATAGGCTTTTTCTTTTCTTAGTGGTTTCTTTCGGCTTTAGCTACCGGTGTGTGTATAATCTCTTCTTTATCAATTAATAAAATAAAATCTTTTTTGGCGAAAAAAACAATAATGAAAAATCCATCAGTAATTTCTTTTTTTCGATAGTAGGGGACAATGTCTCTTTTACAAACAAGTTGGTAGCTTGATGGCATTGATACTCTTTTATAAATGAGAGGTCACAGGTTTAACCCTGCTTATAACCTCAAGTCATTAATGTCTGCCTTTTTAATTCAAGAAAAGAGTGAAAAAAAAAACCTCTAAGAACATTCATAATTAAAGTGAGATGAAATAATAAGGACTTGATAAAAAAAATATAGGGAGCTGATTACAAATTATAGGGATATGTAGATTAATTTTTTTTCCAAACGGAAATTAAATTTTTTTTAAAATACTGATGGATTTCTATTATAACAACATAGCATTTTTTTTCTTTTTCTTTTTTCTTTTTGCTAAACTGATGTTTTATTCATTCCTCATTCTCCTAAATCTCTTAATAAAACAACTTTAGTTGTGTAATTCACTTTTATTCTATATAGTTACTCATTTTTTAAAAAATATTTTTACCCAGGGACAGATTTATTTTATCTTTATATGGCATTTTCCTAATAATATTGTTATTTTAAACTTGCTTTTGATTCAAGGTATATAGTTCAAACCTATTATCGTGAAATTTATTTGCAACTTATAAAGATTGAGCATAATTGTATTTTATATTACAAAATTTATTAATAATCAATATACTTCAAAATTTGCACCCATATCTTTTTCAATTCAAGTAGCCATAAAGTCTTTAAGAACCACTTTTTAAATAATTTGATTTTTTGTTGTAATGTTCTCAATTAAAAAAAATAGTTTACATATTGCTCCTGTAGCCTAATGATTAAAATGAATAATAACCATAAGATATTGTTATTTAATTTTCATTTAGTATAAGATAGAGGAACAAGAACCTCACAACATTATATTTATATTTTCAAAATTTAATTTTTTATTATTTATTATTAAAAGAACAGTCATCTTAAAAAAAGAAAAATGTCACTTAATTTTAGGAATATTCAAGTCACATATTCTCAAAAATTACATGGCCCTCTTTATAGGGTTTTCATGAAAGTCCAATTTTCTCTGTGCATGAACTTGTAAGCCCTTTTATAGGCATCCTCCAAATACCCTCTAAACCTAACCAAATCTAACTTCACATTTTGCTCTTTCAAATATATATCCATTAGCTCTATTGGCCACCCACCCTTTTGTAAAGCACTTGGATTTCTTAGCATTACACTATCCTTTCCATATTTTCCCACTAAGCTACTCTCTTCCACTTCAATGTGATACTCCATGTACTCCAACTTTAACCCTTTTCCAACCCTCCCAAAAAATGTTTTTGCCGCCCATTCAACCCCTATCGGAACAATTTGCATAAATACCGATCCCGGCCGGAGGAATAATGAGTGCATGAGCGCGGCACCATGAACGCCGATCATAGCATGGCACGAGCTGACGAGTGCGTAAGACTCATGTAGTGATGTGTTCTCTGTAGGCTCAAAAACAATGACATCAAAACCTACTTCTTCCATGTCTCGGATTACTTCTTCTTGGTTCAATATTACTCGACCAATGGCACCTTTTCGGCTCACCAACACAAGTTGTGGTCGAAAAGTTAAATCCTTTGGTGATAAAATTTGGTTATGGTGGTTGCCATATGCTTTATGTATGGCATCATGAAAATGTAAGTATGTCTTTGAGTTTGGTAACAACGTGTTGTTTATGGTCATGAAACCATGTGAAATGAGACCTATATGGGCGGAAGGGAAACAATGGGTTTTGGTTTCGTTATTTAGAAAAATAACTGGGTGCTTGCTAAATATATTTAACAGATCTATGTACTTGATGTGCCACCAATTAGAGCCCTCAGATAGAACTATCACAAAATCTTGATGGTTAGGGAAAATAGTGTTGACGGTAATGAACAAAGGGATGAATCCATCATTGAAATCATGGAAGAAGTTTCCGGTGTACCCGGTGGCAGAGAATACCAAGGCCGGCGCGTTATGATAGGCCTCGCATTTTGGGCCTTTTGGGCCTGAGATCAGAGTGACCTCCTTGATTTCGGGCATTATATCATCATCAAATTTTCTTGGGTACGGCTTAATCTTCTCCACAATTTTGGGCTTGTTGGATCCTGTAGGGCCCATAATATAGAATGCGGCTGTAGTGGGGTCCACAACGGTGGGACCTCTAATGTTGCAGAGATCGTAACGGATGGAGGTGCGGTCGCAGCTGATTTCGCCACGTGCCTTTTCTAATTATACAGATGGAAAAATAATCATCAATATCATAAATATTGTTAATAATATATAAAATTTTAGTTTTTCATGACAATTTTAACACAAGATAAAATAGAAAAATTAATCCATTTAAATGATGCGCGCAATTGAAAATTTCAAGATTTGACCAAGGAAGTATATGATGGGGAATTATGTTCCATATAATACATAAAATGGAATAAAGCGAAGAATAGGAAAATATTTTTAAAATAAAAACATTTATATTTTAATATAAAAATAATAAAAATTAAAACGAAAAAATTGCTGAAAAAATTCCGATGACAAAATTTATTTTGCAGAGGTACCTAAAATTTATTGAAAAACTCTTCTTCATCTATCTGTAATTTATTTTCTATTATGTATAAAACGAAAATTTGAATATAGACGAAGATGTACACAGTCAAGAAAAACTGCACTTAGGGAGTGTTTGGATAAAAACCAAACCATGGTTTCAGAAGTGCTTTTACGGATTACGAAGTAAATATGTGGATGAGGTTATCTCGTTTTGCGGAAAAGTGCTTCTGAAACCACGGTTTTGGAGCACCCAAACAGACTCTTACTCAAGGATTTGGATCCTTGTGCACTTTGGAGTAATGAGTAATTTTTCAAATTAAAAATTATTATATATACAAATATTACATAAAAATAATAATAAAAAAGTTTCTATATAAATTTGCTCTTTTTTCTTTTGCAGCTATTACTAACTAAGAAAGTCACCCACACAAATTGAAATTTTATGGAACCTCTTGAAAAACTTAAAGAGACACAAATTCATATCCCAGATCGCAAGATATATAATCAAATTTTTCCTGCTCAATTAAACATATATTCACATGCACTAGAACATCAAAATGGATATCAAAACCAGTTAAAAATCCTTTTCTAAACTGGGAAAATAATGATGATGTGAGAGAAATAGTATAATGAAGGATATGGAGATGGAAAATGAAGGTATAGTACCTAGGGGAGGCTGGTCTGTTGAAGTTGCAGAGTGATTAGAAAGTGATGATGTGAAAGGAATATCAGAAGATGACGACGACGAAGAAGAAGAAAATATGAGAGAGAAGATTGCAGAGAGCTGGATCTGGGCAGTAACGAAAATGGCAAAGAATAAGAGAGCCACCATTGGTAAGCTCGGAAGCTTGAAGTTGAAACCCCTCATCTGCCGATTGTTCATTTCAATTCACCAAAGCCTTCAAGCCTCCCTCTCTGTGTGTGTGAAGTGTCTGTAAAAGAAGCCGAAGAGATCGTATATAGGTATATGAAGGGAAAAGCAGAGAACCAAACTTATCTATGTAAATGATACAACTTAATAATCATTTATATTATCATTCGAAGTAATTAATCAATTCACTACTCCAAAAAATTTAAATTGATTTCTTTTTTATTCATGCATTCAAATAAAAAAAAAAGTATAAACAAATATGCAATTGAATTTGACACCACATCTTAATATAAAATTTATTGATATCCCTTACAGCAGAGGTTGGTCGTAGTACCTTTTTCTTTTCTTTTGGGGGGGGGGGGAGGAGTTAAAATTTAGGTGAGTTGAGTCTTTAATGACGGCTAAGATTAGATTATGTCTCCAAACCCAAAAAATATTTACAAAAGTACATGTAGATTGTTTACTAACAAAACTGTCACATTAGCATAAGATTTGATCTGTTGATCTTGTAAGTTATAAGACAACTTCTTATCAATTAGATAAATTTTCTTTTTGAGTAAAAACTAGAAAAACTTTTATTAGCTTTGTAAAAGCTCATTTTCTCGTTCCTAGATGTGGGTTTCGTTTTGTTTCCAACTCAAATCTAATCTTGATGCTACTCCTCTAATCCAATTCATAAGGCACAAAAAGAAGAATTTTTTTTACTATTTATAAGTCATATTATTAAATTTTTAAGGTAAATATACTATGTTGTTCTTCATTTATTAATATGTAAATTGCTATTTAGACATTAGTTGGAAAGTGCATATATCAAACAAGGATAAATTAAAAAGTTTTTAAATTTTACAGTGGAGGAAATGAAGCTTAAAATAAGGAAGGTAACATCTTGTTAAGCTTCTATCAACTTCTTAAGAATATCACTAATTAAATAAGCATGTTTTTTTTAAAAATACTACCCCTGTTCTAATTATAAGATTTCGTTTATAGACAAATGAGGTCTTATAATTAGGACCAGAAGTAGTAGTATATTTATCACATATTTACACCTTGTAAAAAAGAGAACACAAGCTTGAATGACGAGAAACGTACTTATTAGGAGGACTTTAACATTAATACTTCCGGCTAGAAGAGATTAATCTCAAATACAAAGTAATTTGAGAATACTCTAAGTTTACATCCAAAAATTTTATCTAATTTTTTGTTTTGGTCTTTAATTTAAAAAGTATGTATTCACTTCAGACATAAGAGCTATTCGAACACTTGTGTTTTTAATTACAGTGAAGTATTAATTAAATTAACAAACTTTTTTTAGTTTATCTCAATTAATTAAGTAATTTTTATATTTTGGATTGAGGAATATTTTTTTCTGATGACAAAAAACAAAGAGGGTATTTTTTTGGTGGTACACAGCCTTTGAAACTCTTTTCACAGCGCAGGGCCCTAGCTTTGTTGTTAGGCAATCAACTGCTTATTTATGATAGTTTTGCTTCTTTCTTTCAAACTTTGCTCAAAATAATGAATTAATAGAGATTTGAAGCCTAACTAGTCAATTAATTAATATTATTGCAACGACTTACCTCATTCAAATATTTTGTTGCGACGGTGAATATAAAAAAAATTAATGATGTCCTTCAAAATAAAAAAAGCATTAAAAGGAAAAAAAAATATAAATAACGGTAGCAAATCTTCACAAGTAATTCCTAAACCTAACAAAATCCAGAATCTCACATCTTATTATTAATTATTTTCTTTTTTGCCCTTTACCACAAAGCTGGCAATTGAAAACTTTCATTATTTTTTCATTACAAGAAATTAGTGTTTCCCTCACGAAATTTTTTTTACATAATCAATGCCGTGAGAAATTTTACCATGGTAATGGTAGTGAGAGTTGTTTAATGTGAAAGGATTCGGTAAAAGATTTGCGAATTAGGATACATATTAGGAAGTATTATCTCTAAAAATGCGATAAATGATAAAAATCAGATTGGTCACTAAACCGGTTAGGATATTGATTATGTATCAATGAGCTGACATAATTATGATTAAATTAGGATTAACTTATTCATGATTAAAATAACATAATTTAATTTAATTAAAATGTACAAAAAAATCTATATATGACCCGGAAAAGTAGAGTACAATAGTATTTAACACCTTGATTGTTGTTTTCTTGTTGCATCCAAGATTCCTAATTTTAATTATAGTACATCCAGTACCTTAAACTATAAATAAATTAGTGTGTTAGATGTAATTGGACAATAATATCAGGAAGTGTTAGATACATAATAAGATTAAAGTGTTAGATGCCATTAGAAAATAACATAAGGGTATTGGATATTACTTTAAATAATATTCAAATACTCAATGTGTTAATTTATAAGTAGATAGAATACTGATATATAAACCACATATAATTCTACCAAATAAAATTATTAAAATATAAATCTGACAGGCAAAAAAATACCCAAAAAAAAATCTTCCTACTGATTATTGTCAAAATAGATCGGCGAATGTACTTCAACATCTTTTTGAAAAGCAATAAGACGATGACAAAAATTGGTCAAAAAGAAAAGATGCATGACCGCGGAGATCGCGCGGCATTTGCGGCAAAACCGTGACCTTTTATACTGCTCACTTTATTTTTAAGAATCGTTCTTAAGAGTAAAATAGTAAAATACCCTCACCTATTTTATATTTTACCGACTTTTTTTATTTTAAAAATACATTTAAGTCTAAACTGTTAAATTTATTAAAAATATTATAAAAATAATTTTTTCAATTAGAATTTATATTAAAATATTTTTTATTAATTTACTCTTCATAATACTAAATTCCTAAATTTTAAGTGCAAAGTTTAAAACAGATTTAAAAAATTTTCCTTAATTTTATTTTTATAAATATTTATTTGTTTAATTTTTTTATCATATTGAGATGAAATTAATTAATTAATTTAATGTAAACGTAAAAAATCTGAACAAAAATTTGATTAATTCTTTAAATAAATATATAATAAACTAAATATGTTATAAATTTTTTTAACATAATTTTTATTTCAAAATTTAAATGATTTGTATAGTCTCTTAAACTTAGACAATTTATATTATATGTTAAAAAATATTTATCTAATACGTTTTCTAGCTATTTTTAAAAAATCTAAATAAATAAGTTTCATTATGCAATAAAAAATTAAAATTATAAAATTTTATAATATAATCAAAATTAATAAATTTTATTGCATATTAAAAATTTAAAAATACATACTTATTGTATCAATTTTATTCTACCAATTTTTAGGGCCATGTGCCTCTATAAAGATGAGCTTTCAAAGTTATGTTCACATCACAATCAACAATAAATTTGGCGCCATTCATGTGTAGACAGCAGCATCATCACTTTATTGGGATTTCAAATGCGTCACACTTCTTCCCTCTTCAAAAATGTCACAACCCTCAGTTATTGCCATGTTTAGAGGCAATGAACATGCCACTCATTTTGTTTTGAACAAAAGGCCAAGAAAACAAAAGGCATCATTTTTCATTTGACTTAGAGAATATCTAGCAAGCAAAATAATATATTAACATTAATACCATTCCCTTCTCCGCAGACAGGAATGTTAAATATATCCATAAATCCTTGTATATATATTATTTACTTATTTTAATCAATCAATCCAAGCACAAAATTATCATTTAATCCCTTTATTCTAATTATATTCCACAAATTTGGCCAAAAATTATATTTACCAAATAATTGTGACTGAGAGTTTGAAGTAAATAAAATTATACTATGAAAAAGAGTGGCGGTAGGCTAACAATTCCAATCCATTAAATGTAGTTAGGCTTAACATCCCTGTTTGTTGCTTTTCTGAGGGAATTTGAAAGAGGGAAGCAAAACTCATTCGTATACATAAATAGTTGACAGTTGACTTGGAAACAACGAAGATAAGGTCTTATGAAAACCAAGTCTATTATTTTTGATGAGACAACCCCTTTTGAATATTTTTTTATTACAAAAAAAAATTTTTAGAAGAAGCTATCTAATTTAATTCAACAGTATTAAAATTTTACATAATAGTACTATTTATATCGAATTATCACGTAAAACAAAAATCAATGCCAACAATTTTTCTCAATTCACAAAGTATATATGTGGAGAATACATTTGGCTAGTGCCCTTATGAGGCAATGTTGCTAACAAGCTATTTTTTTAAAAAGAATTTTTGAATGAAAGTTTTGAGTTCAACCCTTCATAAATATGACATATGAGTTCTTTTCGTTAGGTAAATAATGATAAAATTTTTTTTTTAAAAAAGACATCATTGAGTGTGCATCTTAAATTACTTTTGAAAAATTAAAAGAAAATGATAAAAAGGGATTATATGTGGGCTCACATCTCATATAATTAGGTATAGCCACAAGAGAATGTAATTAATTAGAAGAAACCTGTACCTTTTTGTTTTTTGTTTTTGGGTGCATTTAGTTCAAATTTATACACTCTTAGACACAGTCACTGGTATATATTAGCGTTGTTGTGTTTGTGTTGTGGTTTGAGAGAGCTATGGGAGGAGAAATGAAGAAGATGATGAGAGGCTCATCAGCTTGGAAACTAAGAATGGTGGGCTTCTTGTCCTTTTCACTTCTCATTATTGCACAGATCAAGCTCTCTCCTCCATTGATCTCCCTCTTCTCTTCTTCTTCTTCTTCTTCTTCTTCGGGCGATCATCTCATTCTCAGATTATCACTTTCGCCTAATCATTCTGAAACTACTCCAACAAACCAGTCTTCCCCAGGTATGTATATGTATCTATGCCTTCTTTTGTTTTCTCTCCCATCTCTCATCAACATTAGTTTTAGTTGCACAATTTGACGGTTTGATTATCCGCAGAGATCTTGGATTTCAATATGTATTTCTTAGTTCTTTAGGGTTTGATAATGTGAACAGAGTTTTCTTCTGAGAATGAGATTTTCAGAAGAGAATAATAGGAGGACGGGCAGTGCCCGAAACAGAGGACAAATATTTCTACTGCGACCAAATAATAATAATAATAAAATAAATAAATTAATAATTTTGACTCAATTTTAATTTAGTTCTTAAAATTTAACTTGGTACATGTTAACTACTATAGTTTTGAATTAGTTGAAACTAAACTTAATACTTAAATTTAAGTTACTGTAAATTAGTCTACATATTTTTAACTATTTATAATTTTAGTCCTTAAGTTTCATAAAATGTATAATTTTATTTTCTGAAATATTGGGACTAATATTTTAAAAGATTAAATTATAAGAACTAAGTCATAACAAGTCAAAGTTCAAATATTGAGTGGCAATCGAGTCAAAACTATAAAAATTGAGTTGTATTAAATTAAAATTTAAGGAATGAATTATAATTGAATCAAAATTATAAGGACAAAAAGATTAATTTTTTCTAATTATTTTCATATGGTTTTCAAGGTAAGAATATTTCTTAAAGTATTATTCAACTATGTAAGGATTTCAAGTTACAATTCGTATTTTTTTTTTGGGGCCAAATATACTTAATTTTATTTTATATAATTTTCTTTTTCAATTGTGTAATCAGAAGAGGCACGCGGTGAAATGAAGCCGGACCCACTTCTATGGCCGTCCTCACGCCCTCCGATTGCCTCCCAAATTAAATGCGATCGCACTGCGCACTGTTATGATTTCTGCAGCATTAATGGGCCCACCGTTTTGGACCCCACTACCTCTACTTTCTTTGTCATGGGCTCTGAGAGATCCAATAGGCCCAATATCTTCGAGAAGATCAAGCCCAGCCCAAGAAAATTTGATCAGTTCTTGATGCCCAGAGTCAAGAATATCACTATCATCTCAGGTCCAATAAGCCCACCATGCCAGGTCCAACACAATGTGCCAGCCTTGGTGTTCTCTATCGCTGGGTACATGAAAAACTTTTGGCATGCTTTTAATGATGGATTTGTCCCTTTGTTCATCACCGTTAATACAGTTTTTCCCAACGGTGAAGATTTTGTGATTGTGATAACGGAGGGTCCTGATTGGTGGGCCCCCAGGTACGCAGATATATTGAAAGTATTCACGAAGCAGCCAATTATTACCCTTAAAAATGAGAACATAACACATTGTTTCCCTTCGGCTCATGTAGGCCTCATTTCACATGGTTTCATGGAAATAAACCCAACTTTGATACCAAACTCAAAAACATACATGCATTTTCGTGATGTCTTCTGTGAAGCCTTCGAAAGCCACCACCACAGCCAAACCTTGTCACTGAAGAGTTCGACTACCCGACCACGACTCTTGTTCGCGAGCCGAAAAGGTGCCATCACACGAGCGATGCTAAACAAAAGAGAAGCAATACGGATCATGAAAAAAGTAGGTTTTGATGTGGTTCTTTTTGAGCCTAACAAGAACACATCGTTACGTGAGTCCTATGCACTTGTTAGTTCAAGCCATGCTATGATCGGCATTCATGGCGCTGCACTTACACACTCGGTGTTCCTCAAGCCCGGATCAATATTGATGCAAATAGTTCCAATCGGGCTTGAATGGGTGGCACAGACATTCTTTGGGAGGGTAGCAAAGGGGATAAAGTTAGAGTACATGGAGTACAAGATCAAGCCGGAAGAGAGTAGCTTGGCCAAAAAATATGGGAAGGACAGTTTGATGGTAAGAGATCCCACTGCTTTACAAAAAGGTGGCTGGCCACCAGAGTTAATGAACATATATCTGTTGGACCAAAATGTAACATTAGATTTGGATAGGTTTAGGGAGTATATACAAGAAGGATATAAAAAGGCCAAGATGTTCATGCACAAAGAAGGAGATGGTATTTGATCGCTAGTTTAATTAAAAGTGTATTTTTATTTTAGTATATTATTATAGGAGATATTGTGCTTCTAAATTCAGTGGTGACATTATGAGATAGGTATTTTTGTCAATCACATTAAACATGGTACCAAAACAAGAAGATGATATATTTGTTGTATTATTTGATTTAATTTGTTCATTATTAATTCATTAATTTAATGGCCTAATGTGCAAAAATACCCATAAAATATGAATGTATATTATGTAAAGAGTTGTTGGCATTCTAAATCCAAGTATGGTGCAAGTTTGCTCATTATTCCCAAAAAGCGATGCAAAAATTTTCAATCCATAACGATACGATTGTTAAATAAGGGTTGTGGGTCTCATATGCTCCGCTACATGTAGATGAATTAAGGGCAAAAATACCCAAACATACTACTCCCTCCGTTCCTTATTATAAGAGACATTTGATGCTTATGGCATGTTCCCATATATAAGAGACACTTAAAAGTTGTCTCTATTTTTTTTGTATTGATTTCCTATTTTACCCCTATTTATTTTGTCTCCAACTCATACTCTCTTTCCCTCCCACTTCTCTTTCTTTTAATAATTTAATTGTTCTTTCTCATACTCTCTCTCCTTATTAATGGGGGTATTGTTGGAAAAAACTTTATACTTTTTACACATTAATTGTCCTCAACTAATTTTAACTGTTTTTTTGATCAACGTAATTTGGTTATTTGTCTCTTATAATAAAGAACGGAGGGAGTAATACCCAAACATACTACACTATGATGTAATTTCAGCTATCAATATTAAGACAGTGCAAAAATTCCCAGCCTAATATAGGAGCACACTGGGTAATATGGATATTAACCCTATGTTTGGTATGAGGGAATTGGAAGGGAGGAGAGGGAAGGAAAAATTTTAATGAGCTTGATTTAAAAAAATTTAAAAAATGGGTTTATAAAATTTTGATAAAAAGAAATTGTAAGATAAAAGAGTGGTAAAAATTAATTAAAATTTTTTAACCAAACTTATTCAATTTTTTAGATTGAGTTCAATAAAATTTTCTCTCCACTTCCTTCCCCTTATACCAAATGTACCCTAGGAGTTAGAAAGATTGAAAAAAGCGGAAAAATGTGTTCACTTTTCTCTTGAATGGCAAAAAAACTTAGGCACCACCTTTTATTTTGTCACACATTACTAGTGTGACAGAAACACACTTCAACTTGAAAACTATCTTGACGCTGCCCGACTCTCTCTGTTCTTTGCTGCTCAAGTTAGTTCAAACCTACCCACTCTCACTCTCCAGTTACCAAATTCGCCTCCTGTCACATCTTGAGAAATTTTATCTGGATATAGAAAATTAAAAATTAGGATGAGGGTCAATGTAGAAACTAGATAGGGAGACAAAACAACTTTTGAGGTAAAACTCTGATGAGGTCCTGGCTGGCATTTTCATACTGGTGGATCTCGAAAGGGCAAAACGGGAAAATTTGATAAAAATTCTAGAAAATTTCCAAAAAATGGGAAAAGTGTAAGGTAAAGGTTTTGGAACCTCAATTGAGGCCTGAAAGGTGGAATTATTGTGAAAATAAATTGTTACGGAATTTTTCGTAAATAGAGGTTTTTCGGGAAAATATTTAAAAATAGGAGAAAAATAATTATTTTAATTAGTTATAGGCTTCAATAAATTTGGAAAAAAGATGGATAAATTAGATAAATATATTTGAATTTATAAAATTGGTTTTAAGCCTTGAAAGCTTAGGAATTAATTTTAGAGAATTTTTTTTCCTGTAGTGACATCGATAAAAGCCTAATCGGAGAAGATTCAAAATAAATACCTAGAGGTGGAGAAAAATTCAGAAAATTTTTAGATCATGTTCTTATATTAAAAGGTGAATTATCATGGAGAGAAATTAATTTTTGAGGATTTGAAAAAATTATAGAATATTACTAGTGAATAGTAACCGATAAAGTTTCAAATTGGTTTGGGATTTTGATTTGGGATGTGGGCCATCTTTTGGGGCCAGCCCAAGCCCATTTTGGGGCCCACATTGAGCCCAATGAGGGCCCAATTTCGTTGCTTGCTGCCTACTCCACAGAATTAATTAAAATAAATACAAAATTAAGGGATAAATGCTTAGAAAAGTCTAGAATTTCCACTTGATTAATCTGATTTATTTTGTTCTAAATGGCTGCCACATACCCCCATTGAGGTGTCCCATTTTTGGTCAACAAGAGAGGGGGAGAGGCTAATTATAATTTTCTATAAATACCCCTTCCTAAAATATAAAAAAATATTAGAAAAATAGAAAAACAAGGCGAGGTTCTGTCACTTTGGTTCCATCTCTAGTCAAGCAAAAATCTTGAGGTATTTGGGCAAGGAATCACTTAGTTTTTATCAAGAGAACATTAAGGTATGTTTAAGCATCCCTATTCCTAAGTTTCAAGCTTGGTTAGTAAGAGTTTTTGGCTTGAAAAATTAAGGAAAATATTGTCAAAATTTTGGTGGATCATGTGATGTTTAGGGAAGGATGGAAACCTTAAATACCAAGTGGAATAAGCATGATTAAATGGTTTATGGATTGATTTTTGGAAGAAAATCCACCTAGGGTCCTATAAGTATATTTGGGCCAAGGGGTGTTCTTGCTAGAGGAGTTTATTTTTCATTGATTCAATGATTTCAATGGGTTTAAAATGTGTTTTTGTGTAGGGGTATACTATTGGGAAGTGTTTAAAATCATTGGAATCAAAAATAGAATTTTTGGAAGTATATACCCCATATTCGGCCAACGTGATTTCATGGGGAAGGAGTTTGATTTTTAAATATCTGATTTCATATTTGGGTTCCTCATGAAAAATTGTGTGAGAATGAGTCATGAGATTATTGATTCTAAAGGAGGAATTATTTTGTTAAAAATCCAAGGAAAAGGAAGAAATTGTTAAATTAAAGATAAAGTGTTATGTTTAAGTGGTTTAGCTATTAATGTGACCGATTTTTATGTTTGATTTAATAGGCCTTGTGAGGAGAAATTAAGAAGGATAATTGTCCCTTGAGAAGACCAAGTTAATCAAGTGATAAAAGGTACCTTTGAATTATAATTTGATTATTTATCTTGCTTGTTTAATATGATTTGTTGTTGTTTGGATTGAGGAACTTGTGTTATGATTTTGGTTGATTGGTTAACCTTGGTTTGTGCTTTTGCCAAATGCATTGAATTATGTTAAATGTGGAAGTGTTGATGTTCCTGTCCTAGCATGAGACTAAGTATGATTTTATGTGATTTGATGATGTCTTGAAGTTCTATAACATATCACATTGTAACTTGCTTGATTTGCATGATAATGGTAATTTAAATGCTACTGTGATTTCTATGAAATCTCATTCCTCCTATGTTAAATTATGTCTTAAATAGGAAGTGGCTCATCCATGGATCAAGACAAGGAATTGGTGCTAGGATGAAAGGGCTTTGTGAATATTCTATCATTTTCGAATGTTATGTAAATTGCTAACACACTTTATGTTGAGTTGTAATGAATTGTGGATGATAATATGTTGTAAATTATCTTTGCATGACATGCCCAAGTGTTGAAATATTGAATGGTGCAATGTCAAAAGGATGTGGAAGGAGAAAAAAAAAGGGAAAGAAATTCAAGAAGAATGGGATAAGGGGATAATAATACCCTAAAAGAGGCTAATTTTGTGATATATAAAATAATAAGCAAATGATGGAATTTGGACCTGAGATTGTGCAAGCAAATATATCTCATTTTTAGCTTTTAAATCAAGTGATAAACCATCAAATTTGGAGTTTTGTGCTAAGAGTTATGTCCTTCCAAAGTTGGGCTAAAATCCTGGATATTCAAAAATTGACCATATGAATAGTGTACTTTGTTGAATTTTCTGGTGCTATCCTGAATGGAATTGAGTCTAATGAATTTTTTTTTCATAGAACTCTTAGCAAGCTTCACGTGAAAATTAGAACCATCCTGTTTTGATTTCTCTAAAATGAGTTATGAATTTCCAAAGTTAGCCCAAATTCGGATGAACAGTATATGGACAGAATAAAATGTGAACTTTTGAAACTGAAACTTTTCACTCAGAAACATTTGGAAATGCATTATAATAGTTCAAATTGATGTATAATAGGGTAATAAAAGAGGTGCTACACCCCCTAACTCTCTCTTTTATGGAGTCAAACCTTTCAAGTAGGTCAATCAAGAAAGGTCGCTTTCAAAAATTTACAAAAGGGTAATTCAAACTAAGTATAGATTATAGTCTAAAAGAAATAGTAGTAGCAAATAACAAAATCGATTCATTTAATGCCCAGCTGGCGGCTGAAGGTGATTAAAAACGAGATGACAAATTGGAATAACAGCATCTTTCTTTGAAGAGGAAGATTTCTCAATTTTGAAATGAAACTCCAAAGGAAAGGCGTGTGATTAAATACTCTATCCTGCACGGATTATATATGCTACGTTAAGTCTGAATGGATTAAGAGCAAATGTACCCAAAAACACTACACTATGGTGCGATTTTAGCTATCAACCCTTAGATATAGTGCAAAAATCCCTAACCCAATATATAAGCACACATTGGCTAAGATTAACCATAAGTGTAAGACTGGAATTTTATTTGACTTAACGGAGACATGAAACATTTGTCATTTCACCCATTTGAGTACGTATTTAGAAGCATTACAATTCAAGCAAATCATGAATTAAGCCCATATATTAAAATCTTGGATTTTAATTCTTGATTTACTATTCATTTAGTAATTTCAGATTTTTGATCTAATTTTAAAAATTCATAACTAGTTATAGAAAAATTATATTGAGGTGATTCAAGTCTTCATTTAAAACTCTTTTAATTCTCTACAAAAATTTACTTGCTCATTTAATACAAAAAAATACATGAAGTTGTACTATTTATTAGATCAAATAGTATGTTACAACTTTTCTGCCTTAGCTTTAAAAAATCATATCTTTTAACACACACATTCACTTTAGGTGATCTAATACTCAATTTAAAGCCTGGAATTACTAGTCACTCATTAAATTTCAAGGGCAAACTTATTCATTTATCGTCTGGATGCGGTGGAGTGTCTTCTTTTTCCTGAAATTTGACGAAGAGAGAGCGCTCCATTCCTTCAATTAGTTCCACACTTTTTATTATATCA